CCCCACCCCGACCCCTCCCGAGAGAGCCCAGTCTGTCAGGTTCTATGTCTGAGAAGCACTTGGTGTGGTGCTCTGCTGTCTAAAAGCCTCCTCCCTCCTTGGTTGTGATTTGACATCTGAGGCAGATGACCTTTAACTCCACGCCAGGGAGGCAGACGTCTGCAGAGAGCCGTCTGGGGACCGTGGGCCCTCAGCTGCAGAAGGCCGGAGACACGTCAATTCCTGGCTAATGTCGCATGCCCAGCCAAAGAGAGGCCGTTCCAGCCATCGCCTTGGGGGTGAGTTAATGAAATGCTGGGTCACGATGGCTTGAGAAGGACAATGTCAATATCCAAGTAGCCCATGGTAGACAATAGGGTCCCACCCCCGTTCGAAAGGTGAGTCTGAGGGAAGTTGCTGTAGACTTGAGGGAAGATTGGAGGAGGGTGTTTTCCTTGGTGTCCCATAGAACCCACACCCCAGTATCACCTCTTTGACACCTTTACGAAGATTTCCTGCCGGCCACACCGCTGGTGTTCCTCCCCTCCCACAGCGAGCTAGCTGTGAAGGTGGTCAGTGCCTTTGGGACAGATGTGCCCTGGGCCTCCCTGGCCCGGCTGCCCCCAGGCGCTGGGCGGCATTAGCATCTGGCCTTGAGAACCGGACTGTCTCCAGATAATGTCCCCGGTGGGCAGGTAGGAGATCCAGAGCCTGGGTGCTGCCCGAGAGAACTTTCTTGCTCTGTGTCAACGTGAGGAACCAGGCCCTGCCCTCCTGTGGCCTCTTCTTCCTCCTCGGTCTCTCAGCTCCCAACTGTTAGATCAACAGGGAGACCAACTGACGGGGGCTGCCCACACTCACAGTGTCTTTAGGGAGAAAGCAGAAAGAGGCTGAGAACGGGGTTGTTTCCTCCTTAAAGTGTTGCTTCTCTCCTGCTGCATACTCCTCCATGGCTCCCCAGTTCCCTAACTCAGGGAGCCTATGCAAATTCCTCCCCCACCCAGTCCTGCTGGCCTCTCCCCTACCTCTACCTGGATGTCCCCCGCCCCCCCCGTCAGTGTTCAGCTGGGTCTTGTGTTCACTCGCCCCACTGGGCTTTGCAAAGCTCCCATCCCTGGATGCGATGGAGACCTGGCTCCTCCATCACTTCTCTCTCTTGAAGGCCCCGAGAGGGGCCAGCTCCCGGAGGGCCAGGGATTCTTTTGGACTTTAAGTAATGGGGTGAGGGGGTTGTGGGGTTTGGCCCCAGGGCTTTAGTTTTCATTACAATTGGGGTGGACCTTTGTGGCACATTCATCTCCCATTCCATGCACGTCTTGTTTTGTGATATTTGGCTGGCAGCCCTCTCGATGGAACAGGGGATGTTCCCCATCCTCCCTGGGCTCCCCCCCACCATTTCCACACGCCC